CTTCGAATCTCTTCTTCGTGCACGTTCATACCGAATGTAAATGTGACGCGATGCATGCAAGCCCATTTAGTGTTGGCATCTGAAAGAGCATTAACCATCACTTTACGACTGATCCGATGAAACCTATCATTTGGAAGGTATTGCCGAATCGGCTACTTTGGCGCAAAGCGGCCCTACTGCACCTGAAATCGCATGGACCAAGCCTCGGTCGCAGACGCGAATCCGGTCACGGTGATGCAAGAGTGGAAGATGAAGACTGTTCCACAAGTACGTGAGAAGTCTTCAGGATGCCTTCCAAGTTCGTCTCTGCCCATCCTCAAAATAGATCCTCTTCCTGTATCCTCTGAATGATGTCGCCTGGGCAGCCGATCGGGACTCGAAACCCGGTCGCGCCAATCACGTCGGGGCAGAAGATGGTCTCCAAACGAGGCATTTATTGGCCAATTGTCGTGTGTTGTGCGATTGCGGCTGTGACAAACGTGGCTCCCGCATTGACAATGGCGAGTTGACTTCTCTTGCAAAATGAGTGTTTGCCGAAACTGCCGGAAGAAGTCGGTACCGCCGCGAAATGGGCTCTCCGCCAAGACCGACAGCTCGTTCGGGATGAGCCGAGCGACGGAGACAATTCGTCCGAAATCGACAACTCTGTCGATGGCGTCGTCGGTTAGAAACGCTCTGTTGTCCGCCCTCTTGTTTACACCCGGAAAATGGGTAGATTGGCGAAAATCGATATTACCATATCGGGATCGCATGGCGGGAGACGTGTTGCTGGGCCGGTTAGTTGAGCAGAACGCGTTGTCAGGGCATTGAGTCTCTGTGGGTGTGTAGACTTTCTGCTGGTCAACTGACAACGACGGACATGCACCCGTTGGCCTCACGACAAGGACTGTTCTGCTGCGCATACGAGCCGGGCTGGTCGAAGCAACATGACAACCGGCCGGTTGGTAACAGGCGGAAAACATGCTCCAGGGGGAGGAAGAGGGGAAGCAGAGAAAACCATGAGGCGAGGAGGGTGATCGGAGGTCAGGTGGAAAGATAGACGGTTAGAAAAGCGGTCGGACAGTCGGGCGGTGGGAGAGTATGCTGGTCCGTGGGTGTAGCTCTCGAAGCGGAAAGAGGTCGGGCGTTCGGGAAATACGAGATTTGGTTAAAGAGTAGTCGAGGCTAGGAGGTCCGAGTAGTCACTTGTAGAGTTATCAAGTGTTTGCGTGGTCGACTAAATTCTGGTACCATCTTCGTAGGTTCGATCGGTTCAGATCTCATAGTTGAGAGTTATCGTGCATTCAGATGGAACAACTAAATTCTGGTAGTTTGTTAAGGAATTTCTGCGTGTTCGAGTCTATTCATTGAGTGTTTCAGTTTCCAGGTAAACAGACAAAATTCTCGTATTATAGTCGGAAGTTCGAGCGTATGAAGGACTTTATTAGATTTTTCCAATGAACAGGTAATTAGACAAAATGCCGGCATCATTTTTGGAAGTTCGATTGGTATAATTATCCTATTTGAGAGTTTCCTTCTGTTTAGCTAGAAGGATTAAATTCTGGTACTATCTTCCGAGGTTCAATGGGTTCAGATCTCCTATTTGAGAGTCATCGTGCGTTGTGATAGAATCACTAAATTCTGGTAGTTTGTTCAGGAATTCTACGTGTTCAAGTTTCTTCAGGAATTCTACGTCTTCGAGTTTCTTCATTGAGTATTCTTTAGTTTCCAGGTAAATAGACAAAATTCTCGTATCATAGTCGGGAGTTCCAGCGTTAGAATCATTTTATTAGTGTTCCAATGAACAGGTGATTAGACAAAATGCCGGTATTATTTTCGCAAGTTCTATTGGTATAAATATTCTATTTGAGAGTTTCCCTATGTTTAGTTAGAAGGATTAAATTCTGGTACAATCTCCAGAGGTTCGATCGTTTAACATCTCCTATTTCAGATTCATCGTTCGTTTTGATAAAACGTCTAAATTCTAGTAGTTTGTTTAGGAATTTCTGCTTATTCGAGTCTCTTCATTAAGTGTTTCCTTTTTCATGTAAACAGACAAAATTCTCGTATTATAGTTGGAAGTTCCAGCGTTTGAAGGATTTTATTAGATTGTTCCAATGAACAGGTAATTAGACAAAATGCCGGCATCATTTTTGGAAGTTCGATTGGTATAATTATCCTATTTGAGAGTTTCCATGTGTTTAGCTAGAAGGATTAAATTCTAGTACCATCTTCAGAGGTTCGATCGTTTAAGATATCCTATTTCAGAGTCATCGTTCGTTTTGATAGAACGTCTAAATTCGGGTAGTTTGTTCAGTAATTTCTGCTTATTCGCGTCTTTTCATTGAGTGTTTCCTTTTCCAAGTAACCAGACAAAATTCTCGTATTATAGTCGGAAGTTTGAAGGATTTTATTAGAGTGTTCCAATGAACAGATAATTAGACAAAATGCCGGCATCATTTTCGGAAGTTCCATTAGTATAATTATCCTATTTGAGAGTTTTCATGTGTTAAGCTAGAAGGATAAATTCTGGTACCATCTTCCTAGGTTCAATA